TTTGTGTTCTTTTTTTGATTTCAATTTAATTTAGTTCTTCTCTGATCTTTGTTATTTCTTCTCTTCTGCTAGCTTTGGATTGGTTTGTTCTTGTTTTTCTAGTTTTCTGAAGTGTGATTTTAGGTTGTTAATTTGTGATATTTCTGTCTTTTTGATGTAGCCATTTAGTACTATGAACTTCCCTGTTAACACTGCTCTTGCAGTATCCCAGAGATTTTCGTAGCTTGTGTCACCATTATCATTCAATTCAAAAAATTTGTTGATTTTCATCTTGATTTGCTCATTGACCCAAAGATCATTCAGCAGCAGGTTGTTTAACATTCACATATTTTATAGTTTCAAGAGTTCCCCTTGGAATTGATTTCTAGTTTTATTCTACTGTGATCTAAGAAGATAAATGGTATGATTTTGATATTTTAAAATTTGATGAAACTTGTTTTGTGACCTAACAAATGGTCTATCTTGTAAAAGTTTCCATGTGTTGATAAGAATAATGTATATTTCTGTCTCACAGGTTGCAAAGGTTTCTCCTCCACTCTGACAGCTTCTGAGTAGAATTTTTTTGTAAATGTCTATTAGATATATTTGTTCTAAAGTCCCATTTTAGTCCAGTGTTTCTTTGTTTATTTTTTGCCTCCATGATCTGTCTGGTTATGTCAGTGGAGTATGGAAGTCCCTCACTATTATTACATTGCTGGTTATTTTATTTCTCAAGTCTACTAGTTTTTTGTTGTTGTTGTTGTTGTTTTTTTAATGAATATGGGAGCTCTGGTGTTAGGTGCATATATATTTAGGATTATTGTATCTTCTTGTTGACTTGATCCCCTTATCATTATGTAATGACCATCATTGTCTTTTTTTATTGTTATTTATTGAAAGTCTGTTTTATCTAGTATAAAGATAGCTACTCCTCCTCACTTTTGGTTTTCATTTAAGTGGAATATTTTTACATTCCTTTACCTTAAATATATGAGACACTTTATGAGTTAAATGAGTTTCTTGGAGATATCAGACATTTGGGTTGTGGGTTTTTGTTTGTTTGTCTGTTTTGCCATTCTGTCTATTAATATATCTTTTAAGTGGGGCATTTAGGCTGTTTACATTCAATATTAATATTGATAATGAGATACCATTCCGATCATCATGTTGATTATTACCAAGTTTCTTTGTATTCTCCCTTGGATAACTGTTTTATATAAGTTGTGAGTGTTTAATTTTGTGAGTGTTTCAACACTGGTCAGTACTGACCATTACTTTCAGTGTTTAGAGCACTTTTGAGCATTTCCTATAGGGCAGGTCTAGTGGTGACAAATCCTCTTAGTGTTTACTTGTCTGGGAAAGATTTCTCTTTCATTTATGAAACTTCTTTTTGTAGGATACAAAATTCTTGTTTGACAGTTATTCTGTTTAAGAAGAATAAAGATGAGACCCAAATCTGAGAAGTCTGCTGTTTGGTCTGATGGGTTTTCCTTTGTAAGTTACGTTTGCTTTTGTCTTACAGCTTGTAGGATTTTCGCCTTTGTTTTAACTTCGGCCAAACTGATGACTATGTTACTAGGTGGTGTCTTGTATGCAATTAATCTTCTAGGAGTTTGATGACCTTCTTATATCTAGATGTCTAAATCCCTAACAAGTCCGGCAAAGTGTTCCTCCATTATTTCCTCAAATAGGTTTTCCATGCTTTTTTCTTTTACTTCTTCTGCATCAGGAATACCTATAATTCCTATGTTTGGCTCTTTTCCATAATCCCACATTTCTCCGAGACTTTGTTCATTCCTCTTGATTTTTCCCCCCTTTATTTTTTACTGACTAGATTAATTTGAAGGCCTTGTCTTCAAGTTTTGAAATCCTTTCTTCTGGTTGGCCAACTCTGTTTCTAAAACTTTCCAAACTGTATTTTGAAATTCCTTAAGTGACTCTTTCATTTCCAGAAGTCTTGTTTTTTTAAATTTCTCTCTCTTTAGGAAAATTTTCATTCACGTCCTGAATAATAATAATAAGCATTATTATTATTTGGTTTCTTTGTGCTGGTTTTCAAATTTCATATCAATCCCGTTGTGCTTACTTGTGATCCATGTTTTGAATTCCATATCTGACATTTCAAAAATTTCCTTTTGTTTGGAGTCCACTGCTGGAGACCTAGTATAATTTTGGGAGTGTTGAAACAGCCTCTTTTTTCATATTACCAGAGTTCTTAAGCTGCTTCCTTCTCCTCTGAAACCTCTTCCCTCAGCTCAAAACACATAGGTTTGCAGTTCACTTGTTCTCATTCTCCTCTGCCAGGAATTCTGCTGCTTAGTGTAGAGAGGGAGAAGGTACACTGCCTTTTGGCTCATGTAGCTAGATACCTACTGGAGTGTTGCTGGTGATTTGGACCTCAGACTCCTGGGAGTATTCACATGCCAGCGGTGGTGGACTAGGTTAGTTAATCACTGGTTCCCAAGCCCCTGAATGGCATGCTTGAGTCCTGGTGGGACCAGCAAAGACTGAGTTGGCAAACTTTCCTTGAAGTCTCAGTGAATTAGGCCCTGGCTACGATAGTAAGGGGTGGGGTGATCTCTTGCTCTGGAAGAATGCTCAGGCAGGAAAAATGTGGATGCACTTTGAGCCTGTGACAGGATAGGCAAGCTGCTCTTGTTGAGATTAGCAGAGGCAGGCAACCGTGAGATACACAAGTTGCTCACACCTCCCTCTTTTGGCAGTGACAGTGGTCTCAGTCTTTCAGCCAGAGCACCCAGATTCCCAGCTTCCTCCCTGGCGTACCTGCAGCAGAGGTGGTGGAGGCAGCTCTACTCACTGTGTGCAGGGCTCCTGGACTGGCTATCATGGACTGTGACTGAAATGCTCTAGTGAAGAGGTATGGTTGTACCAGAGACTTACGTCCAGGTAGGGTAGGATTCTCCCAGAAGAGATAGAAGGCTCAGGGAAAGGACTGCTAGCTCCATACTCCCTCGGGAGAGGCAATAGCTTTTCTCCTTGGGAAACACAAAAGCACTTCCTGTAGCTCTTTAGAGGGGAAGGAGTGAGCCCCAAACTCTATGGAAGCCTGAGCGAGATGCGTTTTCTGTCAGAGGCAGAACAACTGCTCCAAAGTGCCCTGGCTTAATTATTTCTTGTGGAACCCTTGCCAGTCCCAAGCAGAAACAGCCTTTCAGCCTTGGCTGTATCAGCATAGGTGGGCAGAGGAGGGAAGGAGGGGGAGAGGCCCCCAAATGGTGAGGAGCTGGTTCTCTGGTCCCCTTTGTCTGAGAGGCCCTGTTGTGTGCTGCACTCTCCCTCTCCTCTAAGCTAGAAGCATCCTACCCTGAATACTCAACCTCTAGAGACCTACAGTTTCCCTGGGACTCACTGGTCCTCCAAGACTTCCTTGGTCTGAGTATGTGCTAAGGAGCATTGTCTGTGGACTCAGCAATGCGGAAACCAAGGGGCTGAGATTGCTGAGTCAGAACACCTACAAAAATAATGCCTGTCTATGAAGAGAAGGAATGAACTCTACCCTCTATGTAGCACCCCAGTGATTGAGCAGAGTACTATTGGGGGTATACTCCCCCGGCAAGCCTAGAACTGGCCAACCTGCAGCTCACTGAAGCCAAAAGCTCATGCTTGGAAGTAGAGGTGGCTATGTCTGAAGCAGTAGGTGGTGGGAGGAGGGGAAGTTCCTATTTCCTAGGCTCCACTGCTGCTTCTGCTCTTGGGTAGGGACACTCTTACCCTACAGACTTCTCTCTACACTTGTTTCTCTGTGGGAAGGGGTGAAGATAATTTTTGATCATGGATGTGGGGCTCTCTGGTTTAGGGGAGTGCATGCTATGTCTTCCTCTGCCCTAAAAAGCATTTGTTGCATACTTCCCAGTCCCCTTGGGGCAGCCCACCCTATAAGTCAGAACTCTGGGAATACTGCTGCTCTCCTGTGTCTCCCTGTGGCTCTGCGTTTGTCATAGTCCAAGCAGGTGTGGGGGAAGGTTTGAGTGTTATCCAGTGACAGAAAGACAGAGGTGCCGTGACCTTCCCAGAAGGATAGAGGCACTCAGCATGTGTACAGGCAACATGGAACCCACCGTCTTAGCTTATGTCTTGGTTGGGGGAGGTGACCCTACATGGGCCCGTGGGCTCATGCTCTGTTCTCAAGAATGTATCAGTTTGCCCATGACAGGAGCACCTGCATTTTTCAGGGTAGAGGGATTCGCTGAAAGATCAGAAGTTGGCAGACACAGGTGTAAAGGGAGAAAAAGTAAACACTCCCACCTACCCTTTTCACTGGGCTCTGGATCCCTCAGGGGTTGGTTTCTGCCAAAATCTTGCTCCTTGTTATTCTGCTCCACAACTTCTTTCCAGTGGGATCTCTGGTTATGAAACCTTTCTCTCAGTATTTTACATGGGGTTTTTCACTTGAAACTTTTTCTTCTAAGTAGGCTAATGTCTCTAGTTGGCCATTTTGCCCCCTCCCTTGGCATTTACATTTTTTCCTTACCTCTATTATAATGGATTACTGGAATGCAGGTGACATTTGAGTCAGTGACTCTTCTTTTTCCCAAATTCAAGTGGTTATTCTATTGAAGTGCTTAATTTTAAACAATATAAGATGCCTGAGAATAAAAATTTCATATCTAATTAAGATAAATATTATTTCATTATGGAACTCATGCTTCTACATCATTTAATAAAGAAACCTTGCAGGTGCAGTGCAGCAATGAGCTAAAAAGTGTTATATACAATTATCATTTACCTTACCATTCACAAATTAGTGGGCTATTTAAATATTGGAATAGGCAATTGAAAAGCCCACTTACAAAATTGGGGAGTAATAAGAAACTGAAGTGATGGCTGATATAATTGAGTTAATGTCAGTTAAAAATAAGAAGGAAGTAAAGTGAAATCATCATTAGATGGACTTTTGAAATGTTCTGGAAAGATAGGAAATAGTAGGTGAGGAACGACACAAGAACTTGCATAAACTTTTCCCCTACTTTATTTTTATTTTTCTGTTTCTTATTCTGTAGTGCCAAAATCTACATTACATGTGCACTTTCCAGAGGAAAAAAATCAATTGCTAAACATGAAACCATCACAATACCTCTAAAGATATTGTCAGAGTTCCTAAAAAAGTGATGAATCCAAAATGGTCATTCCTTGTCTACATCAGAAGGTAAAATTAACATTTTCTGCTGCTTCCCTACCTACTAGACCAGAGAGTCCTATAAGCTCATACTTATCTAAGATTACTCTATATGGCTAGGAAAGGACAAAAAGTAAAGGATTTTCCAGATTTATACTGCTGCTGGTTCTGTGGAACAGTCTTTTCTCTGAGCCTGACAGTCAGTCCTACCCTGGAAGAGAGGGTCTGAGTGAAAATGAACAATAAATAGAAAGAAGATGTGATTGTGAATGAAAAGAAAGCCAGTAAATGGATAATGCAAAAAGGAAAAATGAATAATATTTACTACCTCATGAGATAATATGACATATTTACAGATGCCAATAGGGTGAGGCTCCTAGGCTACAGAATACTTCCCTTTAGTATTATTATTTATGGATACAAAGTAATATATCTATTCATGGGATACACGTGAGTATTTATTACATACATAGAATAAGTAATGATCAATTCATAATTGATCATTATTTGGAGTAATAATTTGGAGCATATTTGGAGTACCTACCACCTTGAGTATTTATCATTTCTATGAGTTGGTAACATTTCTACTCCTCTCTTCTAGCTACTATGAAATATACAACACATTGTTGCTAACTATAGTCACCCTACTCTGCTATCGAATATTGGCACTTATCTGTTCTTTCTAACTGTATGTTTGTACTCACTAACCAACCTCTCTTTATCTCCCCTTCCCACCCACACACCCTTCCCAGCCTCTGGTATCTATCATTCTATTTTCTGTTTTCATGAGATCAGTTTTATTAGTTCCCACATATGAATAAGAACATGCAGCATCTATCTTTCTGTATCTGGTTCATTTCACTTAACATAATGACCTCTGGTTCTATCTAAGTTGCCACAAATGACATGATTTCATTCATTTTTATGACAGAATATTATTTCATTATGTATATATACACCACATTTTCTTTATCCATTTTTCATCACTGTGCATTTAGTTGATTCCATATCTTTGCTATCATAAACAGTGTGGCAACAAACATGTGAGTATAAATATCCCCCTGATATACTGTTTTCTTTTACTTTAGATAAACACCCAGTAGTAGGATTGCTGGATCTTATGGTGATTCTATTTGTAATTTTTTGAGAAATCTCCATACTATTTTCCATAGTGGTTGTACTAATTTACATTGCCTCAAAAAGTGTATATGAGTTACTTATTCTCAGCATCTGTTATTTTTTGTCTTTTTGATAATAGCCATTCTAATTGGGGTATTATGATATATCATTGGTGGTTTTGATTTGCATTTCCCTGATGCTTAGTGACATTGAACATTTTTTTATATAACTACTTGCCTTGCCGTTTGTATGTTTTCTTTTGTGAAATGTCTATTCACATCCTTAGCCCACTTTTTAATGGGATTATTATTTTTTATTGTTGAGTTATTTGACTTCCTTGTATATTCTGGATGTTAGTCTGTGGCTGGATGAATAGTTTGCAGATATTTTCTCCTATTCAACAGGTTGTCTCTTCATTCTACTGATGGTTTCTTTTGCTGTGAAGAAGATTTTTAGTTTAATATAATTCCATTTATCTATTTTTGCTACAGTTCTCTGTGCCTTTGAAGTCTTATCCATGAAATCTTTGCTTAGACCAATGTTTTGCAGTGTTTCTCATCTGTTTTTTCCTAGTAGTTTTACAGTTTCAGGTTTTCCATGTAGGTCTTCAATCCATCTTGGGTTGATTTTTGTATATGGGGATAGATAAAATCCAGTTTCATTCTTCTGTGTATGGATATCCAATTTTATGAGCACCATTTATTGAAGAGGGTATCCTTTCCTCAGGATATACTCTTGGAACCTTTATTGAAAATCAGTTGGCTGTAAATGATGGACTTATTTCTGGACTCTCTATTTTGTTCCACAGTGTATATGTCTGTTTTTATGCCAATATTATGCTGTTTTGGTTAATACAGCTTTGTGATATATTTGAAGTCAGGTAGCGTGATACCTCCAGTTGGGTTTTTGTTTTTGTTTTTTTCTTCCCAGGATTGTTTTGGCTATGTGGGCTCTTTTTCGGTCCTGTATGAATTTTAGGATTGTTTTTTCTAATTCTGTAAAATATGACATTTGTATTTTGATAAATATTTCATTGAATGTGTAGAATGCCTTGGGCAATATGGTAATTATAGTGATATTAATCCTTCCAATCCATAAGCATGGGATGGTTGCACATTTGTTTGTTTCTTCTTCAATTTTTCCATCAGTTTTTTGAGTTTTCTTTGTAAAGATATTTCAGTTCCTTGGTTAAATTTATTCCTAGGTATTTTTGTTTTTGTAGCCATTGTAAAAATAACAATATCTACTTGATTTCTTTCTTTCTCAGCTAGTCATTATTGTTGTATAGAAATGCTACTGACTTTTGTATGTTGATTTTGTATCCTGTAACTTTACTGAATTTATTTATCAAATTTGTGAGTTTTTTGGTGGAGTTTTTAGGTTTTTCTAGATACAAGATCATATCATGAGCAAAGAATGTGAAATTATCTTTTCCAAATTGGATGCCTTTTATGTCTTTCTTTAGCCTGATTGCTCTGACTAGGACTTCTAGTACTATGTGGAATAGGAGTAGTGAAAGCAGGCATTGTTGTCTTTTTTTATTATTATTTTATTTCAAGAAAATATGAAAGTATGAACATTTTGGTTCCGTTTTATATCTTTGCTCTCCCTAGCTAGGGTTAGAGGTATGCCCTTCACCTCCACAATGTTCACCACATCCCTCAGATGTGGGTCTACCCCACAAAACCCTGAATCCCTGGTGAACACCACCACCATTTGAGCACCATAGTGTTAATCAGTCAGTACCAATTTGATGGCAAGTACATGTGCAGCCGGTTTTTCTGATCTTGTGTCACCTCACTTTGGATAATGGGCTTAAGCTTAATCCAGGATAATATAAGCGGCGCTAGCTCACTGTTGTTTCTTAGAATTGAGTAATATTCCATTGTAAACATATACCAAATTTTAATAATCTACTCATGAATTGATGGGCACTTGGCTTGTTTCCACATCCTTGCAAGGCATCCTTGTCTTGTTCTAGATCTTAGAGGAAAGGCTATCAGCTTTTCCCTATTCACTATAATGTTAGCTGTGGGTTTGTCATATATGGCCTTTATTATTTTGAGGTAAGTTACTTCTATTCCTAGGTTGTTGGAAGTTTTTATCATAAAGGGATTTTTAATTTTATAAAATGTTTATTCTGAATCTATTGAGATGGTCATTGTTTTTTGTCCTTCATTCTTTCCTTTTATTTGAAGCTGAAAGTCCAGAATGGTCTACATGGATTTAAAGAGAATTTTTTAAAAATTCTGTGTGTATTGTTTAACTGTGTGATTCATTTATACAGAGAAGTGATTTGATCTATTTATAGTCTTATACATTTTCATTACTGTTCAAACATATATCATATATTAATCAACATTTTTTAATCAATCACCATTATAAACCTGTCAAACCTGTCATGAAATAGAACTTTTGGTGTACCACCACTTTAAAGACAATGATTTCACTGTTTAGTGGATAAATTAAATTTTTATTTTATGCTTTCCATATAGCATTCATGTAACATTTCACAGTAAATTATTTACCAGTCTTTTTTTCATCATATGAATAAATTGACCAAAATTAATCCAATGTTGTCAAATTTTTAACATACTTCATTGTTACTTTTCAGACTCATTCTTTATAGTTATTATAAGCAAAAGCTAATAATGTTCACAACCTCTCAACCTGGTGTTACCTATGTGATATATCTCAATGGCATTAATATTATCTTGTGCATGAACACTTGAAATAACTCTAATTTTGCTTTTTTCTGTTGGTCTCAATTTCACAGGTATTATCTGTTATAGAGAAATCATTTTGCAAAGTAGCATGCAGGGACTGTTGTCTCTCAAAATACTTTGTGTATCAATGGGATTACAGTCTACAATGTGTTTATTAATCTAGGTGATGATCTGTTGAAGAAACAAGCACAAATATCTGTTGTGCCACATTTATCATAATATCATATGCCCTAATACCTATAGATCATGTTGTTGTGCATACGGCATAACAATTAAAGAAAATAAAGTTCTATATCAGTTTAGGTGTGACATAGTGGACTTATATATCTACTGTTAGTCCTAGACCCTTATAGCCTATTCTCTACCTGACCTATTTATTTAAATATTATAGTAGATGTCCATTTCTCTATTTTTATTTTCTTTTGTAATTGCCAGCATCTCTTCTCCATGATTTCTAATAATTATTCTTTTATTCTGGGACATCCCCCAAACCAGATGTCACAATAACTATATTAACCCATGTTTGTCACTACAAAGGAGAAAAGTGATCCAAACAAGGTCACAGTGGTCACTAAGTGTGGCTACAGAAACTTTTTGGCATATTCAAACTCAAATATATTTATGAATGTCTACTGCCCATATGACACTAACCTGGGAACTCAACATCATCCTAGTACATTTGAGGGCAAAAGGATCTGAGAGTACCTGAAAACTTGAAAGATCAAGAGAAATGTTGAAGTTCTTGGTTTGAGTTATGCCTGAAATCAGTAGCTTCCTTGAATTTTACTTCATTATTCAGTGTCCAATAGTTGAAATGACAAAAGTTTTATATATACAAGATTTTAATAAGATATAGCACAACAGAGAAAAAAAGAGCGGACAATCATGGAGAGATTAATTAACTGCCAAGCACTGCTCAACAGAATCTTTTTTCAGCTACATAGGATGCTTTTTGTCTTTGGATTATGAGCCTCTGAGATCACAACTTCTGGCTCCTTGGCTCCCTGGCTCAAGTTTACTGAGGACTCTCTTATTATCCACCTAGTCATGTGGCTAAAGCCACATTGTATAACAACTTAAACCAGGAAAAACCATTAATCTACATCTCCCTGAAATACTTAGGGAAGCTAGTATAAAGTGCCTTCAAGGGAATTTTAAATTTTAAACCACACTTCTACGGTCCAGAATATATGCTCAAAATCACTCAATGACAACAGCATGTTTGTTGAATACACCAACATTGGCCAAAATGCTCTTAGAGATATTTGGATAAAGTTGGCACTGGGCTAGGTGTCTTATGCAAACCAAATTTGTCTTTAATGAAAAGAGGTATTCTGAGAAAAAAAATAATTATAGGCTCATAAGGGACACTTAGAAAGCTCTTTTAGAAGAAAGAGACAGGATGGCAAGGATCCTGGAAAGATGTGTGGTTTAAAACAATGGGTAAACAGACTCAACAAATAGTTCAACATTATGCTAAGGAACAAGAATGAAACAAGAGAATGCGAACTGACCCAAGAGGATCTGACAAAGATGATC